CAGAGACTCGAAATTCCGGCAGGCGGCCATATGAGCCATGCAGCATAAAGCTCGCCGACACAGAACCTCAGGCAAAGGAAGGCATAGTCTTCACGTACTGACAGGGTCTAAGGTTCGGGGGTTTTTCCTTCCTACTTAGCAGGGACGAGGCCCGCTTTGCAGGGTAGTTCAGGTAACATAAGGGTTTAGGGTTTGGGGCTCAGGGTTTCGGTGCTCACTGGGACAATCCAGGCGAGGCATATGGTTCGAGGTCTGCTAAGAAGCCGTGAAACTGCACTATAGAGCGCTCAGAGAAGCGCAACAACACATAACCCTACAAATAAACCTGTTCAGGGTTTGGATTTGGGGTTTAGGGTATTCTGAAACCCTCAACCCTTTTTGCATCCGGGCTCTGGCTAAAAGAGACAGACACAACAGCTTCGCATCAAACCGTCACCCTACACCACTCATTCCATGATAGTTCCATGATCCAAGACACAAAGCCATGGCCTGGGCCATCAAGAGGTAGCGCCACCTTCAGAAGAAAGTGCGACAAGAAGAGAGTCGGGGGCTTTGGGGCTCTTTGGCCACAGAGACCCGCCTTCTTGGCGAAACTTCCTCAGGACACGCTCACTGCTCAAGTGGGGAGGTTGCGACTCGGTTGGTATCTGGGTCAGACGAAAAAAACTCTCGACAATAGGTGTACCTTATTTAGGGGTCCCTGTAGTAAGGATCCTACTATTTTGGGTACTATATTAGGGTCCCCTATTTTCGGAAACTCCGATACTAACCTTTGTTTATAATAAGGATCCTACTATTTAGGGTATATTAGGGTCCCCCCACATGCCCGTGCCCGGAGCCAAGCAGCATTCAGGAGGGCGACGGTCCTGGGCCATCAGCAAAACAAGCGAAAAAGGCACCCATCTGCTCCTGACCCCAGAGAGCCCAATACCCCTCAATTAAGGAATATAGCTTAAATCATCATAATATAAGGCCCTATATGATTTAAGCCATATTCCTTAATTAAGGGGTATTGGGCTCTCAGGGACCGTGAGGCTTCGACGCCGGCTGTCCAAGGCCGAAGGCGAAGCCGACCAACATGCGCACCCCAGCCATGGAAAAGAATCCTGCAACAAGCTCCGCTGGCGTATCCACAACCCTGCTTGCTTGGCCCTTGTCCTGTGGCTGACGCCGAAAGAACACTGAAGAGGGCTATTCCCAGATAGGACAGCAGGATGGGCAGCTTGCGGCCCATTCCTGATTAAATACAAGCATGCACAGGACAACGAGGAGGTTCGCTCGGAATACCAAAAATTCTGGCAAGCGTCCGTCGCCAAGCCTAAGCCAAGCGCGAGTGTGTTGCCAAGCGTTGCCGCCAGCGGAACTATTTCAGCCACGAAACGGCCCACTACTGGTGTTGCCCAGCAGGATGCCGATGAACACAATGGAGACCACCATACCCCGCTGGAACCCATTCAAAGCCCACCTCAGATGTAGCACATGCGCAAATCTCGCGCATGACGAAGACTGGCATGCACGCATTGTTTGCCGCCGGAGGATTGTTTCGGGGCGGGGTTGGTTGGCTTGGTGGGTAGTGCGTGATTAGGCAAGCGGCCAAAAGATATGACGGGCACAGTTGCAGCCGGAGGGGATCACACTGGGCTTGCAGCGTTTACTAATGCACAGACATAGATATCGGGTCAAGTATCACTACAGGTACACCTGGATGGCCAGTCCGTTCACAGGCCTCTCTTTCAAGGACGACGCAACGTCCACACTCACACCTCGACGCACTCTCTCGCCATGCGGTTGCAGGTTTCGTTTCAACTCGTTGGTGCGCCGACTGTACCCGATCTGCAAGCTCTGCTCGGTAACCTGCCATACTTGCGAAGTCATTCGATACCAGATATCCACAACGACAGCTTAAGAGGCACAGTTCCAGGAATAAGTTGGGAGTGGGGCGTCTTAGTATCGCCTTGGTGGCACGTGCGATGACGATCGATCATGAGCACGTGCAGAACATGTGGGCATCCCTGCAAGGCAGGGCAATGCAGCCGAGCATCTCATCAGACACCTTGGATGCGGCGTGTTGCGTTAGACATCTCTGCCATGCTGAGACACGAAGCGCATGCAGGATCTGAAGGCAAGGCACTGCCTTGGTGACGGAGCCTCATGTAACAGAACTGCGATCTCCCGAAGTCTCGGAACGAAGACTTCCATGAGCTTCTACTGCCGAGGCTCCGAGTATGAGGAGCTCCGAGCCATCCGCCACCCAAATGCCACCCCCCAGCAAAGCTGCAAAAGCCTGCCGTTTGCTTGTGATGCCGATCCTTAAAACCCATTCCATAAACCCTAAAAGCATAAACCCTAAACCCTCAAACCCTAAACCTTAAAACCCTAAACCCCTTAAAGGAACCAGTAACGGAACCTGGGCCGGACCGATGCCGATGTCTTCAACGACCTCACAAGCAGAGAAAGGCATACTTCTGGCGATCCTCCCCGGAAGCCTCTCTTGGGCCAACGCCGTCTGCAGGCTCCTCTTGCCACTTCTAGCTGACCTTGTCGACAAAACATGCCGACAAATGCTTATCTGCCAAGCATCAGGCGGAGATACGTAGTCAAGATTTGTAAGCGACCTATGACCACTTCGCAATCTTGTCCAGCCAAAATGGCAGCCCATGTACTCGATTCAACTAAAAGCTCAAAGGTTACCGACCAACCCTATCGGCAAAAGCCAAAGGGGGCTTTTATCAAAGGGGGCCTTTTCGGGATTCAGGCTGCCCGACAACTACAATAGGGTTGGTGGAATCGGACATTTACCAGCACAAGGTCAAGCCGATCGAAGTAGCTGCTGAAGGGGGATGCTTTGCAAATACTCAATCATGCAACTGGCGTTGAAACACAAATGCTTGGACAAGGCTGCTCTTGGGCTGAACAATGGCAACACTGCAGGACGGCTCAGGGACTTGGGACAGAAGATTGCCAGTGCGTCCGACCGCCCGGCCAAGCGTGACAAGAGCATAGCGGCCACGGGTGGCCAGGAAGGAAGAAACCCGTGTGAATCTCAATGTGACGAATATCAAATGCTTCGGGATTCAGAAAGCAACTCAGCGAAGAAAATAAACACTTATCGGTATAGAGTACTGAGCAACAATACGAAGATTGGGGATGGCTGTAAATGAATATCCTGTTGCAAAAGTTTGGACAATTCGGTGCTCGCGGTACCTGCAAACGATCAATGCATCAGGGGATGTGTTTTGCTGCAAAAGATGTCCGGGGCATTTTGCGGTAAAATGCGGGGATTTAAACGCGAAGCCGTTTTGCGGTAAAATGCGGGGATTTGCGGGGAATTGTAAAGCTCAGTTTGTAATCTTCGGCACATTTTGCGGGAAAATGCGGTGATTTGTAAATGCATCGCAACGTTTGTGATGCGTTTCCCATGAAAGGCAATCTCTGAGCTGCCGCTCATTGCTAAATTGACGAGGCCAGACTGCATCAATGTTCTGCCTTAATGACCATAAGCAGCATGAAACAGCTCAATCAATTTCCCTACCGTCAAGAGCTAACACTCGTTCGGACAAACTCTACTGGGAATCGTATCGACATGCTACTCGCGGACTGTCTGTTACCGACTCTGGCTGAAAGCTGTTGCAATGCCAGCATGATTGCACAAACTCGTGGCGATGCAGCAGGAATACTTTGCTCACCAGACGCTACTGCTGTTCGTGGGTTCTTGCTGTCCGGCTTACCAGCCCATGTTTTGTCAACGAGCTCTCTGGCTTCGAAGCCATCCCCTCCCGTGCAAGCGGTGTCATGGTTTCGGGCTGGCTCCAGCTTTCCACAAAGGAGAAGCTTCGTTTCTTTGGCTGATGTGCACTCGCAGGAGCAGAAAGAGAGATCGTCCCAAGAACAACCGTTTGCTGAACATAGTGGTGAGATAGCATGGATGGCCCACCGGTGCAACAATCTCCCGCTTCGCCAAAGGACCTTTGGGAAAAAGCCCCCTTTAGACCTTTCCGACCCTAAACCCGAAATCCCTAAACCCCACATCCTAAAACCCTTTTTGCACCCAGCTGTGGTGTAAACCCTAAAACCCTAAACCCTATCAACCTAAGCTCAGGTTTCGGCTCCGCTGCAGGGAGTAGTGGCATGAGTCTTTCGAGATGTCCGTAGCACCAGGCACCAGACTTTTCAGCCTGGCTTCAGGATCGAGTGATATAGGGGCCTTAATACTTAGAATAGGGTTTTGGGGCCCATTATACTATACTTATACTAAGCAATGTTGGCAATCAGTTAAGCCTCTATATTGTCTCGCTGCAGGGTTTTTTCGTGGGCGACTGGGGTCAGGGCGTCGTCTGAATGTCCCGCCGAGGCCACAGATGGTCACCAACCACGTGGCAGGTGGCAGCTCAATCCTACATTATTCTGGGTGGCCTTTGAACACAAAGGCTACAAATTGGAGATTGCAAGCGACATGGAAAAACACAAGGTGGCACAAGACATGTAACCAGGCAAGGAATGTACGACTAGGATGCTGCAGGCGGGATCCCGGCTCGCACGCGTAAGCTGCCTCTGCGCCTGCCATGTGCAGTTGTTCTTGCGATTGTTCTTGCGATTTGTGTTCACGACTACTTGCCCTTACCAGCTCGTGCCTGTGCAGCAGGCAGATCTGATCAGACTTTTTGTCGCTCGTGCTCGACAAGTCAGACGAGGTTTAGGGGAAAGCAACAACTAGCATGAGTACATGCATACAGTCTGCACATTGGCACACCTGGTCGGCGACAAACGAACTAAAAGCTTCGTCCACACTCGTTTCACAACAACTCTCACACCGCAGAAGCGACTTTCGGCAGGTTCCATCCACTTCCACCAGAAACCACTTCAACTCAAGGGCATAGGAGACTGCAAACCTCATGCTCCCGCAAGTATTCCCAAAGCACAGGCAAGCTGGACACTTGTTTATGCTGGCATCGTTCTGCCATAGCAAATCATGTGACAATGTGCATCGGCATTTCCCCAACTCAGCTTATTGTGCATGGGCCACACTTCGTCTGAGCTTTTGGCTCTGCCGACTGCTGTTCTTTCTCTGCCGCCCTTGCTCTCTCTTCATCCTCCTTTTCTTTTGCCATTTCGATCGCACGGGCCTGTGATCCGACTGCAGAACAAGCATACTGGTCCCCAGCACGCTTCCACCCAGCGAGGTCCAGGGCCATGGGCCCCAGCATCATGCGGCTGCCTGATCCGGCATCTAAACGATGGATACACCGATCGTTGGGCCACACCACGAGCCGCGCTGGCTTCACTTCCACCACATGCTCTTCCGAGCTGCTGTGAATCGTGAGCCTGCCAGAACCAGCAAGGTACAGCACTGCCACGAAGCCCTTGACATATGCCGGATCCGGCTTCCCTGTTGCATCGAATCCGGTGTCTTGGTGCATAGGAGAACTTCCGATGGCTACTCTTCCTGGCATCAGAACTGTATCTAAGGAGTTGGCTGGACCTGGAGCGCTAAACTGCTTTTCCAAGGCCATAGCCTTTGGGTCACGACCATCGGCACACCATCTGAGAACTGACTGCAGCCGCTGTTCCAGCTGCCTTGAAACGGGAACTTGGGAGAGCACGGTCCTCTCGCCGGCGGGGAGGGGCGAAAGCTTTCCCATGATCGACTGCCGCAACTCCTCATCCACAAAGCCATCGAGGACGGCGATCATTGGCTCTCGCGCGCTCACGCTTACTAGAATTTGGGCTACAGGTATCCTGCTGTTCCCGAAGCTGTCTTGAGCCGTAGGACTTACCCTCTGATGACGTCCAGCACTATGCAACTGAGCCCTTGCCGCCGTGTTAGTTGCCAGAAGCAATCAGAACCAGAAGCAACGAGGCCTGCAGCAGAGTCATCCGTCACCTGGTGCTCGCTCCCCCATGCCAGCACGTGGACACTGCAGCCACTACGGACGACGACGTGTTGGGTTTGAGACCGTCCTGTGCACAGCAGGGAGCAGCACAGATAAAGCGCACACTCGGTTCCTTTTTCTCGCAGAAGGGGCACTGGGCGCGCCACCGGCAATCGATTTTAGGAAATTGATTTCTGGCTTAAAAGCTGGAAGTCGAACCACAGCTTCACGCCAGCCTACGGCGGCGTTCAGCCGCAAATCTGCCTGCCCACAAGCGCACTGCGGGTGCATGTCACGGGCTTTAACTCCTCATTTCTCTGACGTTTCGCTTCTCAACTGTCTGAGCAACCGGCTCTACACCACAAGCGCCAGACTCCGCTCCATCTCGAATAATGCCATCTTCAGATCGACCCTCGGATATACGACGATCGTCTGCAACGCGAAGAGGGTATAAAGCGCTCAGAATCATGAACACTTCTTCTACGCACTGCTTCCTGGCAGATGTGGCATGATTTGGGCTTTAGGTGCTGGACTTCGAAACAACGGGGACAAACAACTGCACATTGACAAAGTTCTCCATAGCCAATACCGATTCAGCCTCCATGTCTGCAACCTTCCCCGGCCCCCCTCCTGCAATTTTCCCGAGGCCCAGGGTGTCCTACATCATCCGCTAAGTGAAAAGGCGCCCTGCGCAAAAACAGCGTGTTAATATGCGTGTGTGAGCCAGCATTAAGCATGCGCACATGCACAGGCATGCACAAACACACAGAGACACACACACACAAAGTCGCATGCTGTCCCTTTTACCTATCTATCTGTGCCTCTGTGTTTTTCTGTGCAGGCCACCACGCGGTTGATTTACGAACTCAAGCATTCAAAACAAATCCGTGTGCGTATACATGATTACACAACTTTTTTGGCACTCGATCTCGGCAGGCAGGCGAGGTTTAGGAGTCAACTGCGCAACTTTACAAGTATGTGTATACATATTTCAAACATGTGTGTATGTATGTATGCATGTATGTGGGTATCGTATGTATATATGTATGTATGTACGTACATATATTTTATGTATACTAATATCAGCTTCTTATTTTATGCTTATGTCTATATCTATATAATGATTACTTTTGTGCGTGACCATCAGGTTGATCGACGAACAAGTCATGACGTTCTGACTTGGTGTTAATTTGAGCAGTCCTGTTCTGCGGATCTGTGAAAGTCGATGTTTGCATTACACATCCTGTCGCCGCTGCAGTGCTTGGAAGGGCAACTCGTGTCGCGGCGGATATTTCCATTTTCATACCATGGAACCCTGCTTTTGATGCAAAGATAGGATCCTCAGAGCAAGATGAAGATGTGTGTAGATATCATGCTTGGAAGCGGAGCCTGTCTTGAACACCCGATTCTAGAACATTCATAGGCGGTGACAACGGTGTCTCCTAGGAATTTTGTCTGGTAGAGTTGGGCCATATTGGCCAATCTTCGCAGCTTCTACTTGGGAAATCGTGGGACAATTTGCCATCCGGGACACTGCGTCCAAACCAGCGGCGTGTCATCATTCGGGACCCACGTGTCCTTCTCCAGATAGTACGCCTGGCAACTCCAGCGTTGAAGATGAGGTGAAATCAACTCAGTGTGCTTCGCTTCAAAAGTATGCACAACTAGCCGGCTCTTAGGAGTGATCTTGAAGGAGTCCGCTGGTCTGCACGATATAGGAAAATGTGCTCTGTCATGCTGTCTTGCAGAACTTCCTTTCTGGCTGCGGCTGCCTTGCCGCCGCATGGAGGGTACGGAAGACGTCGTTTACCATTCCAAGCATGTTAGACTAGCGTTAAGCTGATCGTCACACGTTTGCAAGGCAAGCCTTAGTATCCAACATCCCCTACTAGATCTGATAAGCGTGCCTTCCCCCTACTCTGAGCAGCAATTAAACTTGTCCATGCCAGCCCCCGGTCAATTTGGTGCCTCTGCACAGTGCCATGGGCCGTACGGGCAAGAATCTCCAGTTATCGCCGCGAGCGACCTGCGTTGCCGGGCATGGCAAGGCGGCGCAAAACACAGCTGAAGCTTGCAAGGCAAACGATGCTAAACTGAAGTAACCCCTTGCCTAAACCCCCCGATCGGCGTTGAAGCAACAGTATGATAGCGACCCGAATCCTAGTAAGTACTATTGCTGTATCCCACGAATTCCCGGCGCCTTGCAAGGAAAAGCTGCTGCAGACTCAAGTATTTGGAGTCCTGTTCTGCAAACTGCAAGGGCGAAAGGTCCGTCACAACATCAAAACCTTGTACCCACATCCTTCGTCTTCTGGTACATGCGGCCGTAAAAGGCGCTAACCATCCTGATGCTGCTGGAATTTGTGTGATACTGTGGCTGGGAGTTGCTGTATGGATTGCTATACAGGGTTACTATAGTGGGATTACTATCAACTCTTGTGGGTTATTATAATCGGGGCTCCACCATAAGATTACTTTGCATCTCGAGGCTCGATGCTGCCAAGCGTCGGATCGAATAAGCACCACTGGGCTTCCTCGCCTTCCTTCAGCAGCCTTCCCAAGATGGACTCTGAGTGGTTGAGGCCCTGAAGCTGTTTACCAGATACCACCCTAAACTAAAGCATAATTACCATGCTGTACTAAACTATACTAACCCGGCCTGTCTCTCTCTTTCAGCTCCTCGTCCGTGAAATGCTTTGTCGGGTCATCACCGACCTTCTCCTTGTAGTCCTGTCGGAGCCGGAGCCCTTTTTGGGTCAAAGTGCTCACGGTTTCGGCGCTCACGCTCGGACAATCCAGGCGAGGCATGTGGTTCGAGGTCTGAGGGTTCAAAAGAAAACACACACACACACACACACACACTACGAGGGGTAGGCCATCAAACAACCCGCAAGACTCAGAGTTTGGTCCCTTTTCAGCACCAAACCCGTTTTGAACCCGTACTGAGGCCAAACCCCAAACCCCTGAACCCCTTTTTTGCAGCTGGGCTCTCAGTGTCAGCCAGCAAGCCCTAAACCCTCTCACTCTCGCACACGGGAGGCAAGGCTCCACCACAGGTGTTTAAGGTGTGAGGGCTCAGGCTTAGGTTTCGGATATCCTCGGAGCTCCGACCCGTCCCTCGGGTCCTTGCACCAGTAGCTATCCTGCCAGGAGGCAGTGAACATGCAGTGAACAGGCCACAGTTTTGATGACGCTCCCACTGTCTAAGTACATATATCACTTATTCTAGCAGAAGAACTGCCTACAGTGCTGGAGAATCGGTCTTGCAAAGCGGGTGCAGAAGCTCATTACTCAGAAACAATGGGGGTTGCAGCAGTCAGGCCTTCCGGTAGCGGCACATACCGATGTGGCCCATGACCTCGGGCAAAGCACCGTCTTCCCATCTCGATGTTCCCAAGAAGCTCCAGCCTTCTTCAGTCGATCCATGATTTGGAGTGCTGATGCGTCATCAACCACCTGCTCCCGTTCATTGCGCTTGCGACATGGGTAGTTGTCAAAATTATGGTCCCTTTTTGAGTACTCTAAGTAATAGGTGCCGTATCATAATTGGGACCCCAAAAGGGACCATGATTTTGACAACCACCCACATGCTCATGGAAGCCAAGGCCAAGGCCTCCAAAGGATATGCCAGGAACACCGTCGCAGAATCGGAATCTCTCGCCAAGTCCGTGGGGAAAATGATCTCCTCGTGAGAAGAAGACAAGGCAAGCCAAAACAGAGTTTGCCTGCACAGAAAACGGCGGAGAGGGTGTTTCGAAGGTAAGGGCGCGGCATTCGGCAAAATCTTTCCCAGCGCCGACTGGCAAAGATCGTGTTCTCAAGGCTTCGCTTCGTGGCCGTGAATCCCGGAGCCTGGAGGTTCGATTCCAAGACATCCAAGGTGTCGCTCTTGCATGGCGGCAAGAAACCATCCCTGGCAGCTACCTGCACATCGCCAGGAAGAGCAGCGAAGGGTCCGAACTTTGAAGATGCGGAGATCTTTAGCCGCCTTCTTGAAGAGTTTCACGGCTGCCAGCGGAGGCCTCGTGGTTTCATCGTGCTGACATCTTCTACCGTCAAAGCTCAGAGGAGCAGGCCCAACGGAGGATGCATGCACTGCAGAGTGCTCCTCCCAATGGCCTGCGTTGACAGGCTATCCAGCGAGCTTCCGAACAGCCACAGCACGCTGCCTCCATCTAGATCTTCCCAGCACTCAATCGCCCGCAGGTAGTCGAAGAGCTGGCAGATAAATCACGTTGCACACATTCATAAACGATGGCATCGTAATTTCCGCGAGATGGCCGCCACTGACTATGCACAGCGCACGTATCGTTTTGGAACCGGATCTGACGTCCTACAACGCTGGCCTGTCCCATGAGTTTGAGGTGCTCTCCATCGAAAGGCAATTTCTTGTGCCAGGCCAGCTGGGTTCGAGCCTGGGCCATGCTAAGCCGTGAGGATACAAACTCACGGATGAAACGAGATGTAGGTAGCGGGCCCACATGAAGTAGCCCAAAGCATCGTTCTGCTTATGGTTGTACCTTTAGGCCCGCGCCGCGGATGAACTTTCGCCTCTGATTGAACTTTGCTGTGGCCGGCACCACTTGGGATCTTCGAGGCCGGTCTCGCCAATGAAACGGATATGAGGTCCTTGGATTTTAGGGTTTAGGGGTTTAGGGGATAGCGTAGCACAGTCCTTAGGGTAGGGTTTAGGGGTTTAAGGTTTAGTTTAGGTGGATGTGGGATGCCTTCATAACATGCCACAACCCTGTCGTATAAAGGCTACTCCCAGTGCATTGCACGGAGGTGCGGTCCATCCAGGTCTTCTCGTCCCCCTTGACATCCTTCTTTCGCAGGAGTTGATGGCACAAGCAGGCCAAGAGAGGGCTGGCCTTCAAACCGTTGATAACCATCTCCATTTTGTGGCTTTGGTATTTCCTGACTCCCCAGCAAATCTCCCAAAGCTTCCACACGAGTCTATAAATGCCGGGGCTGGTGAAACGTGACAGCTGCAACCTGGAATCAACAGGAACCGCGCGATGCAGGTGAGGCAGGCGACCGCGTCATCCGAGCCCGGCCCCTGGCAGGAGGCAAAAGTGAAAAAGCCGCGACAAACCCTTTTGCAGCGGGCTTGCTCTGCTAAGAACGTGTGCCCAAGCAGAGCCGAACTCTCGAAACCGGGACAAACCCCATACCCTGAACCCCTAACCCTTTTTGCATGAACCCTTTTTGCATCCAGGCCTCTTGAAGTCTTGCCGGGGAAGGGCGAATGCTGTAGCACTCGTGGCTACATACTCACGCTGACAAGAAGGACACATCATAACAGTATGACTTGATCTCTCTCTCTCTCTCTCTCTCTCTCTCTCTGCCGTGCCATCATCAAGTGTCTCGCAATGCAAGGGCACGAAAAACGCAGGCCAGAATATCAGGAAGCGTAGCGCGAACGCTGAACCTCCTTCATCCTTCGGGCCCACTGAACTGGACAAGTCAAAACCCTAAATCCCTAGACTTCAGAAATCCGGCCTCTGGGTCGGTATAAAACAAGCCCCAAGCAATGATGCAGTTGTCACCTTATTGCCGCAGACTTACATGCAACAAAGGGGAATAAGACAGTGGCACGGTTAGCAGATGCTGTTCCATTGCAGCAAGACACGTAGCCAGCTGCCAAACATACCTCATATAGACTATGCAGGAGCTGCTGCAACCGCAGGACATTGCAGCCATCATTGTCATGAAACCTGCACCACGTGCCTTCGGCCACATGACAGTTGAAGTTTTGACAAGACTCTTGATCCAGTGTGATCGCCTTTGGCATTCGCCGCAGAGGCGCTGAATGTTCCTGTGGGTTTGCCGTCCTGCATGCAGCGAGCATAGATAGCGGTGATTCCCTCGAATTTGAGTCGAATCCAGAAGCGTCTCTTTCAAACCCATCAACATCCGAGAGGACGATGTGGCCGACAGGCGCAGTCACTGCCATGCCACTCTTTGGCATCTGCAGCACAACGGCTGCTTCGCAGCGAAAGTCGGCCACGCACAATCGGTGGTTTCGGTGAGACTTCATTTCACTTTCTTCCAACATCTGCCAGCAAATCCTTTCGGACATTTCACAACCCATCCGTAAACAGCCCAGTGGACTCTAGTCTTTCTCGAAATCGGTGGTCCACCTCTTTCTGCAACCAGATGTAAGCTTGAGAGAAGGAAATCTCAGGACAGACCAATACGTCAGGTGGGTCGGGTGCCCGCGAGTCCAGTGAGCCATGTCGCAGTACCTCCTTACGCCAACTGATCCAATCGTTCTTCGATCTCTCTGCTTGCACCCCATAGAAGCACATAGAATTCCACCAGGTGTCGATGATCCGCAGAAGCACTTTCCGCGCAATTTCATCTCGCTCTCTGGAGTCCAGTCGCAAGCGATCCATGGCATCGAAATGCTTGCTGAAGGCCTTACTTGTCCAGGGCCCCATGAAACGAAGTCAAGGTTAACCTTTGGGGTTATGTTGGGACTGTAATGCCAAAACAAGCTACTACCATAATACACTAAAAAGGCTGAAGGTTGCTTACTCCAGACTGCTAGTTAAGATGAAGATACCAGTGTCTTCCTCGGTGTCCGGCTCATGACATCGCTCTGAGCTGCGCGGTCACGGTCAGAATTTCTGAGACGCTTCGACGCTCGGGAATCAACAAGCGTCGCCGCTGCAAGGGTCATCTGTTGTCGAACTTCTGATTGGGCGGGCAGAATTATGGAATCGTCTTCCGGGAGAGTCGCTCGCCCAGGTAAAGGTGCATTGGCGTAGTCTTCACGCCATGCCCGGGTTCTCTGCAGCATCATCTGCTTCACTTCGTCCTTCCAGCGTTCCACATCGGCCTCCTCCAAAAAGGCCTCGATTCGTGCGCTGGCCTCAGCCTTGCGTACGCGGCAGGTGTCGCAAAGTGCTAGAGTCTCTGCACACCACAAGTACGGCTTCAAGATGTAGTTTTGTATCGTCTTAAAGATGCGAGCTTGATGTCGCATGGCCTTCTGCACAAGCAGGACCGAGCGCACAAAGTGCTTCACAGCACGCCGCAGCAAGTACGCACGGGCGGATGCGCCAATGAAGCTCTTCAGTGCCTCTGCCGCAGCGGCTTTCCGCAGCGGACGTCGGAGACGTATGTACACAACGAGAAGTCGCAGCGTTCTTTTCCAGGCTGTCCAGATCGACAGACTCCGTCGCCGCCGCAACTCCAAGTCACAGAGGTGGGTTACATGAGTCTGCACAGCTTCAAAATGCCGTTTTGTGAACAAGCTCAAGTCCTCCCCCTGCTCCAAACAGATTTGCTTGAAGTCGTCTCGGTACACCCTGATCGCATGGATGCTGTCTCTACCATTGTCCTCGACGCCGCAGACTGCGTGGCGAATCTGACGATGGACCGTGACCAGCTTTTGCAAGAGCTTGCAACTCAAAGCGACGAGGAGGAAAGAGAGCCAAGGCCGCTCCCTTTGGGCCCTGAGATGCCGCGTCTGCCGCGAGCGTATGCGGAGGGCCTGGTCGACTCGTCTCTCGAGTTCTGCGTCCCGGGCTCGCAGGACCACTTCGCGGAGCCGGCCCGCGCTGCATGGCGGGGGAGTTCTCACGTCTCTGGGAGTGCAGGCTCGCGTCGGCGAGGTCCTTCCGGAAGCTTGGCTCCGGGGACGGCCTCCCCTCTCCAGATCTGTCTCCTTCACTTTCAGCCCACGAGATCGTAGCTTCGCGACATTCACCAGCGGCTCGCCGCACGAGGTCTCTTGATACATGAAGCCCTCCTCTACAACTCTCATCAATGACTCCACCTCGTCGGTGTGATCCCGGAAATATTCCAGCTTCACTCCCAAGCGGCTGGTGCAAGAGTTGATCTTGCGAACCTCAGGCACTTGATGAACGCTCGTCCCGGTCTGGTGTCTAGACAAAGCTTGCAAAGCTTTCTTTTTCTGACCTCCGCTTGCATAATACTGGCTGTGAATCCACACGTCCAGGTCTTCATCCGTGTTGGACACCTGTCGATTTCGCTTCGGCTTAGATTCAGACTTCGGCCTCGGCGAGGACTCCGGCACTTCCGGCGGCGAGGCCGCGTCCGCCTCTGGCTTTGCCTTTTCGGCTTCATTGGGGGCATTTCTGGATGTCAGCCCGGGAGCTTGCTCCAGCATCCGGCAAATCTCCGGACTCAGCGCTACTTGCGGCATATCTGCCAGGCATGGGTCGGAGGGCGTGAAGCGAGGGCAAGAGTAGGCACATGTAGGCTAGAGCCATAGGCTGTCATATGCCAACAAATCCGGCCGAGTACCTGAAAACTTCCCCCCGATCCCTTCTCTGCCTGTGTACCAGTTTATGCCCTCCCTGGTCCCTCTCCTTGCCAATGCATTTGGCTTTGCCTCATGACAGACTGACAGGTGCAGAACATTGCAGAACCACACACGGCACACGAATGCGACGAGCCGCTCGTGTCCAGGGTCTTCTTTGCATTAAGCAAGCTTTTGAGCTCCTGCAGCTGGGCGCTAAGCCGCTAAGCTGAGATCTTCCGCGCATGTCGGTACCACACTCGCAGCTCCTGCAGCTCCTCTTTCCGCAGCCTCGTCACAGAAGAGTGGCTTTTGCTGACGAAACCAACCCAGCAATGGCTACCTCACTTTACATGTCAGGTGGCGGTGGTTCGACTCGGCAATACCTTTCCAGGGCTGGCTGGAAGGGCTTGCCGAGTACAGCCGGCAGATCCATGCTCCTTTCCGTGTGCTGCGAAGCAAAGCAAAAACCCGGAAGAATTACATACCGTCCCTTCCCAACCAAGCCTGTCCTGGCCTTGTGGCGCAGGATGCTGGGCTGTCACCCGTGCCAAAACGCTGCGCTTCGGTTCTGAAAAACAATACCATGTCATGCAACATGGGCAATTCCCATGTCAATCTGTTCTGAAGGTGAATGAAGACGACTTCGTCCACTGAGTCCGTTACTTGCTGGCACCACGCAAATCGCGGTGTGGCGAAAGACCTGTTATGGTGACAGTCTTAGTCTTGCTCCTGTGCAAGCAAACAAACTGTAACTGAACATCTGTCAGCTGTCTGACGCTGAGAACAGGGCCCCATCCTAAGGAGCTCGGCTCCGCCAGCAATAGCCTTGCAAAGCAGCTGTGCACCGCCACTGTGGGCCACTCTGCCCCTGCATTCGGACTCATGGATGTATCGCTGGGGCCCACACGGTGAGCTGCCGCATCCCTGCACTGAGAATCCATCTCAGCATGCCGCGCTGGCCGTGGCCGCCCTGCCCTTGGAGATCCGAAGTTCTCTTTGATGATGTCGCAGTCCTTCTGTTGAAACACTCCATGTATACCATGTATCATTATGTATCCATGCTTCGCAGAAGCCGACAGAACGCTGGTGCATGGCGAGGTGCGAGTCAGACACGATGCTGCTGTACATGCTTGCGCTATCGCCAGTCCTTGCCACACAGTCACACACAAGGTCGCCAACTCAAAGTGGCCTCTACCACATGCTGTTGCCTGCAGCTTTCCGGCTTCACCTGCCCTGTATTTCTGTGGCCGCGATACCACACTGTTGGAGGATTGAGAGGTCTCAAACTGAACTTGCCGTGAACTTGGTTCAGGTTCCTTGCAGTCGGTGCCTCTCAAGTGCATCAGAACATTGATCATCCTTCCAGGAGATTCCCATACTACCTGCTTCATCAGCTGTTCATGGTGCAGGTTGAAACGGGGCATGTTCAGGCTGTTCCTCCTTTTGGCGTATGTGTGTGTGCGCTTGCTGTCAACCACGTTCATGCTGAAGTGCATTTCGGTTCTGAGCCGCTGAGCACCGGGCTCCTCCAACTTGATGCCTGTCAGCTTCGCATATTCTACCTTGGCGACGGCTTGCACCCAAGGGAACCCTGCGACTGTTCTGGCCGGAGGTAGTCCGAGCCCGGCGCAGATCTACCCCGCTTTCGGCAAGCGACGCTGCAGTAGCATGCATCGTGACCTCGTGAAACCACTGAAATCGGCTCGAAGTGCCTGGTGCCCTAACACTACCTGGGGAGCCTGCCCATGTAGACTGGCATGCCTTCTTCAATCACTGTAACCTCTGGTGAGCCGGGTCGAGTTCAACTCCTGGTCTCACAGAGCACACGAAAGTGAGCTCCCCGCGCAGTGGTGGCACCTAAAATCTGCGAGGCCTTGCGAAGAATGGTTTTGCATTGAAACTACGGGCCGCCTCTGAAGACAACTATGCTCTCTAGATCAGCAGGTGAGGATTCTCTGTCAGCATTCCGCATTGGCATGTATCTTGGAGGTGCCGAAGTAGACCCGAATGCTCACGTTGCTCATGCCTGTTTGCTGCGCACCTCCGAAGCTAAAGACGGATGACTTACGGGCTGTTACAAACTCATGCCTGACCATGCACAAAGTATTCCCTTCTGCCAAGAACTGCTCGGAACTGATAATTACAGTTGACACGGCAAGAGCTATTCTGGGGCTCGTTGTCTCCTTCGGGCCACAGAACACAAGGAAGTAAAATATAGACCTAGAGAAGGTCAGAACGCCGCACGAAACAAAGCACGACTCAAAGCCAGGAATAGGACAATACAAAAAAAAGGCAAGAATGAGAAGAAGGCAAGGAAGGACACAGTGCAGGAAGAAAATTCTGCTTCTGAGATTCAACCTCACCAACATCTTACTAGCAATTGGCACGGCTAATGACAGCCAATGGAAAGTCCCGACCTGCCATCAACACTGAGACTGAGATTGAAACCCATTGTCGCGAATGCCCTGTGCGCAGCTATTTGCTGGCCTGCTCAAAAAGCACATCTCAAGTCGGATTGGGTACAGACTTGACGACAAAGCTCAAGAGTCACATCTTCAGTTGTACCTCGTCTGCTGCCTTGATCTCCTGAAGCCTGAGTGTATGCAAGTTAAGGTGAGGAGCTGGAAAGACAAGGTTTCCGGCAGCCTGGCACAGAGGTGAAGCATGCACACGCCTGCAAGAAAGTGCTGCCACGTAGCAAATGCTATTGAATTGGCAGCGGCTGCTGCGACAGTTGCGAGCCAAAGAAATGTCCGCCCGGCGATCACGGGAAGTAGCAGCTTAGCTTTTACTTACGGCAGCTGAAATACATTGCAGTCATATGCAAGTCTTCAGGGGGATCTTTTTCTCGCGGTGGCAGCTTTGGCCCGTGTACAGAGCGTTGCACCGGTGGTTGGGCTGGTCAGTGATACGGGCTGGAGCGGAGCAGGTTCAAATATGCAGATTCAGAGCTTGGCCTGACAACCATGGCAACAGGCAACCAGTCACACCGCTTGGCGTCAGTGGGCCCAAACATGCCGGACCTCGAAGCTACCAATATTCGACCACCTGGTGGCACATGCCTGTATCTCAAGAGCCGCGAACAAGGACATCAACCAGGATCTGCAAGGCATGAGACAGTGCAAAGCCAAGCTCCATGCTCTGCAAGTTTCCATGGCCTGGCCACTGCAGGGATCAGCGGAAGCCGATGAAAGGACAAGGACTCGTTCCCAAGGGCGCGGCTGGCGACCTGGGAGTGCGAGGCTGTCACGTCGTGTGCTGCTGGGCATCATTGTATCACCCCTTGAAGGGGAACCCTATTACAGAACCACAGTCCCCTTTAAAAGCTCCTTTAGGGGACAATCGGCATCAGCAGCAGCAGCGGGAGCATCAGCAGCATCGGCGCTGGCAGCTAGCATCATCTCCTGCCTCCACTGATACTGCCGCAAATGCCACCACTACCAACACTCGCTTTGGGAGCCCAACATAGTGGGCACGGCCGCGATGAACCATCGGAGCATGCTTGCTGCCATCGTCGTATGCCTTGGACTTGGACAGTGTAAAAACATGTAAAAGCGGCAACGCCTCCCTTTGCAAGTAGTGCATGGTGTGTCGTACGAACCTTGGCCTCTTGCAGTCGGCATGAAAATTGTTCCCGCAGGACCAGCAAAAAACCAGCTGGCCTGGCTGAGTCTTGCGGCTTCTCATGCTTATGACATCTTATGACGCATGCGAAATCCAAGCAAAACCCCAACAAAGACCAAAACGCGGTGCTGCCTGCCGCCTCCTCGGACATGCGCATTTCCTTCGATCTCTTCTTCGCTTCATGCTGCATCCATGTGCGTCCCACAAGTCGAAGCAGCAAGCCTCGAAACAGACCGCGCAATCTTCGCCTGGCGGCAGGAGGGACGCGCTTTGTAGCCGACTTGATGCGACTCGATTGAGGTCTTTGTCACTTTGCGACCTTCAACTGGCTTCCGACAGCTTCCAGTCTCCTGCGGGTGTCCAAAGGAGGTGGGAGAGTAGCGAGTCATCACTACTGTATGCAGCCGCTGCACCCTCGCGCCAGTAAAGCCTTTTGTCAGGTGCGTCGGCGCCAGATGCAGTATCGCACGAAATGATTCCGCTTGTCGGAAACACCGAAAGGGACCTCGGGCATGAGCCGGTACAAGCTTGTCCACCTATCTGAAACTTAGTAATGGTGACATCTTGCACGATGCAGTGCCGGCTGGAGACGTAGAAGGCCCTCCATGGCAAGGGGGAGCGGTCGGAATCGAGAAAAGGTTCGCAGTGCATCTCCTCCCACGATGCCGGATCCGGCGGCTCCTTCAGAAGGCCATCGAGGCACAAACAGCTTGCAGTGCTAGCAGCAGGCTCCTCTACTTGATGCGGCAAGACCAGATCGACCAGAAGACTGCCTCACAACATCCAGAAATTGAATGTGTTGGGAAGTAACAATCTGCTTGATTGTGCTTGAGAGGTGGGCATTCGTCTTCATGGTGGTAGCGCGAAGGCTCCCTCAAGTTCCGATCGTTCATGTCCGGGGGCACCTCTTGCATTGCGACAATACCCCATGCCAGTATCGCACTCTGACATGCTCAGGGTTTCGACTCTCACTCTCGCACAGCGCAGGCATGTGTGGAATGCGCAGGATTTAGTTTCGGTTTAGCGTTTCTAAACCCTAAACCCTTTCCCCTAACCCTAATCCCGAGGCCAGCATGGCCAAATTGGGGCTGCGTCTTCCGTCGCCTTCCAAAGGCCCTCAGGCCACGGCGCGAAGGGCCTTCCAAGCACATCTGAACGCCGAATCCAAGCCATGTGGAGACGACATTGTCCATGAACCATACTAAGAAGAAGAACAATAAGAACAACAAATCGAATAATAATCATAATCAAGCATAGTCAGTTTTATGATGGGGACTATAAGGGAATAACATTACCAATTAGATTTCTGGCCTCGGTAGCTGCCCGTCGAATGAAGAGTTCACCCAGAGAAGCGGAAGCGGTCCGGCCTTCGCTCTGCAGGAGCTGGAAAGCTTTTTGCTAGGCGGCACTCAGGGCTGTTGGGGCTCTTGCTTTGGGCTTAGGGGTGGTGTTTAGCGTCATCATGCGTCATCGGCTAGGTCGTCTGGGAAATGCGCTTTGGGGCAGAGGGGAATGTAATGATTATTTCCCGTCTGCGGTGGCCAACGACACCTCCAACCAGCGTCAAGCCTCCCACCTGTAGCTCTGCAGCGCCAGTTTGTTGCTTTAACACCTTCCACTGCTCTCGTGGGGCCCTTGCAATCTTCCCGGGGTTTACTCTACAAACCCTACAGGCCCAGACCTGCTAGCTTTTCAGCAAAGGGGCAAAAGCTGAGGATGGCATCAAAAGCATGCATTACCCATCAAATGCATCAAATCATCAAACCAAGCCTTTTTCCCCACCCGCTATCCCGTCAGGATCAGGGCTTGCTCGCTCAGCTGGCTCAGCTTCTGCAAAGCCTGGCACGTAGGATTAGTTATTGTCCATCGTCACCACACAAACAAACCCGAAACCCCACCCTTTTTGCATCCAGGCCTCTTTCGAACTGCCGGGTACCCCTGAAACCCTTTTTAAGCACGGACTTTGAGTCTATGCCGGCAGCCATGCCCAGGGGACATGTAGACTCTAAACCCTGAGACAACTTCTGAAAAAGCAACAAGACATGGGCACCTCTGACGCGCTCGGCTCCGCAGCTGGGTGGCCTTATTGCATGCAGCAGACCATTGGCGCAAAATTCAGCATCTTAGAATGTACTCTACTATTTGACAATAATTGACAGTATGTGAAGAAGCGCTATAGTGCTTTTTCGCACATTATAGTAGATTGTAACACTGCACCTAATTACAGCAGTCCTGTTCCCGAGGTAAGCAAAATTTCACCTTCGTGGTTTATAGGGACCAGAGTTGGCTATATTATCCCAAAGAGGTCAAAGGTTGCTGGCTCTGGTTTGTTCCTAATAACTGCGCGGGTCTCAATAACTGTGCGGGTTTCAATAAACTTCTGCAATAATGTACCTTACAGCCTTGGCGCCCTTCTGAATCCTAGAGCCTTCTTCCCAAATTAAGTTCGCTAGCCTTTAGAGTCCCCAATAAAATGGCACTATATCATATATAATTCCTACAAAACACTATGACCACAACATACTATAGCATGTCCCAGTCGCCTGCAATGAGTCCACCCCGCTGCGCCCAGGAAAGCCATGGCCCCCAGCCCTGGGAATCCGAAATCAGCGTCTCGAAATTTCCGATGATCACCTGGTTTAGGGCTCGAGGGTTTAGGGTTCAAGGGCTTAGGGTTCAAGGGTTTAGGGTTCAAAGGCTTAGAGTTCAAGGGGTTCAGGGTTCAAGGGCTTAGGGTTCAAAGGCTTAGGGTTCAAGGGTTTAGGGTTCAAAGGCTTAGAGTTCAAAGGGTTCAGGGTTCAAGGGCTTAGGGTTCAAAGGCTTAGGGTTCAAGGGGTTTAGGGTTCAAAGGTAGGGTTTCGGGTTCAGGGGTTTAGGGCTCAAGGGTGCGTCATGGTGTGTCTAGTCAAGCATCACATGGGCATCTTGGGGAGACCTTTTGCTCAGGTTTGGTTGATTGTGAGGGGTGTATGCTACTACTCCAACTAGTAACCCCCACGACTGTGACTGCGACGCCGACGGCTCCTACTGCTGTACTGTGCTACCTCGTAACTACTTCGGTAATTCTGTACCATTGTTTCTGATCCTGTATTGCTACTGCGCGCCCTTCTCAAGAGCCTAATGACACCACCTCCACTACTCTCCAGAGAGTCTAGCCCACTTCCCCCACACTCTAAAAGAGCTGATCATCTCTTCCTGTACAGAGCGGTCCCACGCCTCTCTAAAGAGCCTATCTCCGTTCCTGGCCCCACGGGAGGAAACTCATCAGGGCCCCGGAACATGTGGGGAGGGGGTGTGCACACAAAACACAGTGCCAGAATGTAGGGTTTGGGGGTATAGTATGCTATGTATGCTACCAGTATGATTGTGACGACTTGCTGTATGTTAGGGTATATGCTGGCACGACCTGGTCATTTACTGCGCACCAGACTGTAATACTTCGCCAAGCTGCCAAACCCCGCTTTGCACGGGTAAGGGTAACGTTCAATCTTCTGCAGTCGCCAATGAAGCCAACACTGCCGTTCTTGTTGGCTCTCACGGTTGACACGAGGATCACATCCTGCACAGAACGAGAGACACTGCCAGCGGAATGCCGCAATCACAGAGCTTATTTACAGTATGTATAATCCGGACAAAGCTTCTGATTTGCAAAGCGATGGATCACGCGGTGTGGACCAGTTACTAGTACAAGGGGGCCCCAAGACCGGACACAAGGCAACCCGGTCCTTCTCTCGGCCTTGAAAACCATCGACGGAGCTGACTTCGACTGCTGCCACTCCCTGAGCTGTGACGAGACGCTTGCCTGGTGGGGGACAGCCCAGCAGCTTGCGTATCGCCCGAGCTTGGGCTGCATAGGGCGTTATCACGCCCACATCCTCCGGCCTGACATCATCCCAACGCAGCAAGCTTAGAAGGACCTCCTTGAGAGCCTCCACTTCTGCGTGATTTGTATACGAAGTGCCTTCTGAAAACTCCCGACCAAGCACGGGCAGGAACGAAATGGGTGCTTCTGCCAGGGGCCACGCAATTCCCTGAGGTGGTTGCCGCTTTCCGCCTGAGACACCAGAGCGTATCTGGCCGCTGTAATACGCCAGAGATGGGTAAAAGGCAATGCATGGGTGCATGCGATATTGGATATTCAGCAGGTTTGGCTCCACTCCTTGAACTGCGAGACGTTCAAAGAGCGATGTGCCAAAACCTTCAACATCAACTTCGATATTGCTGACAGACGGTGGGAGCTGCCGGTGGTCTCCCACAAACGCAACCGCACCCTCTGCTTTCATCTTCATCAAGGGAACTAGGGTCGACAATTCCGTGGCTTGGCCTGCCTCGTCCAAAAGCACCCGCGCAAAACTCATCTTCTCCAAGACAGGATGGTCAGAGCCTGCGCAGGTGGCACAGACAATGTCGGCCATTGCGAGAACGGTCTTCATCTGCGAGTACTGCAACTGGGGGTCGAAGCCACCAGGCCCAAGCCCAGTGGCCACTTGCAGAAGGTTGTACTGCTCCAGGTCTGCACGTGTGGCTTCGGGGCGGCCGATCCGCACAACGTTCAAGCATGCCTTGGCGCAGCCGTCCACCAAGTTATCCACAGCGATGTTGCTATCAGCGGAGCAAAGCACCGGCCGAAAGCCGGACTGGATCCAGCTGCGCACTAGCAGCAGTGCAGTGGTCGTCTTCCCAGTGCCAGGTGGGCCCTGAATCAATGTCAGCCGCCTAGAGTAAGCCATTGTTAAGGCTTGGCGCTGCGACTCGTTGGCCTCAAGGAGGAGACTCTGACCAGGGATCAGCCTTGTGAGAGTGGACGGCTCCGACGCAATGACCGCTTCCATTCCGGGCTGGCCTCCAGAGTCTGCATTCAACAACAGCCGTGTGATCCACGTAGCTGCCGAATCCTGACCCTTGTCCTTGGCAGCCCCGTGCATTGCAGAAGCCAGAAGCTGTGGGGTCCACTGTATCTGTAAAGGCTGCTCTATGTCATCAACCTTGCAGAGGCGGTGCAAGGCCTCAATCTGCCGGCTTAGGGTGACATGGTTTGCAATCCTGTCCAGCCGGCAGCTGCGGCCACGGACTTTGTTGGCCGCAGCCGCCGGCGACTCCCCCACGATTCGAAGCTCCAGACTATTTGAGTCCCACGCGGCTGAAACTACTTCGACCTCACAGCAGATCTCGCCGGATCGCTCCTGCTCACTACACTCGCTTGGGGTTGCCGTGTGGGGGCTGGTCAGAAGCAGCCAATCACCTTTCTGGAAGTTATGGGACCATCCAGCGCTCACCCCCACAGGTCGCACCAGCAACTGCGACGCCTTGCTGCCAGCATTGATCTGAAGTTGTTGAATGCATGCGCCATTTCGCTCCAGAAGGAAAGCTGGCAGAGTGCGCGCCTGTTTAATCGCAGACTGTGCATCTGAAATGAAGTCTCGCACTGCCCAGCGAGCAAATCGCCCAAAGTATGCTTTACCAGGCGCGGAAGGAAAAAGCGCCATCTTCTGCGCATCGATGACATTCAGCACTTCCAGAGCTGCAGCTTCTCTGGTTCGCAATCCAAAGCTGTCCACCAGTTTGGCCAGCTGCTTCACCGTGATTGTTGATGCTGCCATGCCACGAAGGGTTTCTGCGGCACGCTCTGCATGTCCAACCCGCAGAAGTTCGACCAACTTGGAAACCTGTCCCTCACCAGCGGGTCTCCTTACTTGCGAAGCCGCAACCAGAAGTTCGGTTGGCACGAGCCCAGGTCGTATCGGTTGCAGCAGCACAGGAGGAGCGTGCAACGAGACAGCGTGCGCTGGACGTTTCACTGGTGCAGGTACTGAGTCTTCTCGCTTGCGCTTTAAGACTTGAGCAGGTGGCGGCACCTGCATTAAACCTTGCTTCTGCAAGGAATCTACATATTGCAGAGTAGCCTGCAGCTTCGCCGCCGGTTTGCTCTTACCCCAGCCTTCCTCAGTTTGCAAATCAAGTCTGCGGACACGGGAAGTCTCTAGGTGCCTTTGAATTACATGTCCCAAACGGCCAACATGGGAGTTGTCAACAGTCGGTGACCCTAATATAGCCTTATGAGGACCCCAAATTAATAAGGTAACCCTAATTTTCGGAAACTCCCACATGACCAACATCGGTTCTGTGCTGCCGAGCCACTGCCTTGATAGCAACACCCGGGACCGCGATGAAACAGGTGAACGATTGCACCCACTGCCCGCCACGACTCTCATTGATCCTCGAAGGAACAAGCTTCTTGTAACCCTACACCCAATAGTAGCCCTTATAGTTGCGGCTTTCGCAGATCCACACAGGTACCCCAAGTTGTTATGCAGCACACAGTCGCCAAGTTACTGGATTTGTGGTTTCACCCCTTTGAGCTGGCAGAAGCGATTGAAGATCTCAGCAGGACCATGCGCACCGCCATTAGCCATATAGCTTGGCGGCAGGATGAATCTAGGTCACAGGAGGCAGGCTTCTGGTGTCAGATGGCTGCCAACCAGTGGATGCTCAGTGGATGCTGCCCTATTATTTGTTGCGCTCAGAAAGCTCCGGATAGGGTGGCCGAATTTAGGCTCAGCTCGCAAGGGTGCTTGTCTACGGTTGCACAGGTACAGTAAAGCTTTGAGCAGCCACTGCCCCATGTCAGGACAATCTGAGGGTGCGATCGTACATGCTTGGAGCCAGCGTGCAGCATCCAACTGTATCAATGCAAGAAAGGCACTGTGGCTGCGTCACAATTGTCATTCATCTACGTTTCAATTGGCCGAGGTCTAACACGTAGTGCCCAGTCACGTCGCCAGAAAGCTCCCGCCTTCTACATTACCTTATGAACATAGCCGCTTATGGGATCAGCCCGCGCTTTGCCTCGGTGCTGGGCAGGAAGAAGCTGGAAGGAAAGCGGTACCACTCCTGAAGGAGAAAATGAAAATGGCCGAAGCTCCGCCCTGATCAGGGAAGTGAGTAGTCTAGCGTTTCTAGTGTGCTGGTGGACTTCGTGTGACTTCGTCGCCAATCACTTTCAATTCTTTCGTGAGCTGACGAAGCCTCAAGCGCCGAACCGGTGGTTCGTGCTATGCCATGTACATGGAGCTTTGCTGAGACTCTCGGAAGCGTAGCCTACTGGACTACTGCAACCTGCAACGTCGAAATCCCGAAAGCAGCTCTGTCCTTGCCCACGCAGACGCCACTTCTAACGCTTGAAGACGGACCAGCAGCACCCTGGTAGTAAATCTTCTCCTGAGTTGAGGCGCGGCAGGAAAATTTCACGGTGCGGGCAGCAGGGGTCCAAAATGCACTAGCGCACATAAAGCTGCGAGATTCAACCGATGCCACGAAGGCTTGCGAGTTCTGGAGCGGGGTTCCAGCTTTGACTTGAATAGTTGGGGGGGCGCGGCATTCTCGACAAAGCTACGTATCTGTACATGTGTGTATACATATGTGCGTGTGTACTCACGCGTGTGCGCATGTATATGCACCTATCAATGAATATTCACCAGTACCCATATTGATATTTTTTTGACACTCACACTCGGACAAAGCCTGGCAAGGTCTGCGGTAGTTGGTCTGGGCATTTACGCTATCAGTCCTATTGAGTCGATGTCGCTCAACAGGACGGCTGTCAAACGGAACCGAAGAGACGACACCAACAACATATTGATATTACGGTCAATGTGAATGTTACGCAAATTTTGCAACTTGCAGTCGGATCATCAGAAATCGACGGCAGCCCCCACAAAAGGAGCTGAGCACAGCTGTTGTTGCTTCAGGGTACCTAGACGCTCGACCATCGCTGGCAGACTGGCTCTATGCTTCGAGGTTGCTTCTGAAGCATGACTCATAGGCAACAGCAATGAGAAGCTTTTGAGCTTTTCTCAAGCTCTGGGAACCCAGCTTTGCCATTCAGATGTTTTGCTTCAATAATTAAGAGTACATAAAGCAAGTATCCATACAAATGTGTGTGTATATATATATAGATATGTGTTTGTAATGTATGTATTATACTAAGTCTACTATACATGCGCAAGGTTTCGACGGACCGCCGCCGCCGTAAAGAAGCGGAAGGAACTGTGTGCAAAGCCTTCGCCTGAACCCTGGACTACTGGACCCGACGAGCGAATTATGATGCCGGTGGTGGTGCAAACTCAAACCTAACTATTGGCGCAAACCCTGTTCCGGCCGAGAACCCAAGGCACAAGGTCTAAGAAACGAGTCCTTTGCAAAGTCAGGTGGCATAGAGTTGCAGCGGCGCTCTGAAATGGAAGTGTAGGGCAGCACTTCTTGAACAAGATATGGTGGCAAACACCACGACAACGGCTGCAGCCAAGGATGTTGACACCACCTCGCAGGCCGAGCGCGAATCTTCAGTCGGAAAGGTTTCTCAACTTGCTCAGCTCCGCCCGGAGAGCACTTCGTAGCTTGAAGCTAGCCTGGCCCTGTCTTCTCTTCGTTCCCGCTTTTTGTTACCTGACTGAAGCCTGGCCAGACGACGGTGGACCCTGTAAAGGGAACTCCAGAAAGTTGGAATATGGTTTCAGGGTAGGATACCTTATAATTTACCATAAAGGGTTTAGGATAATCATATTCCAACTTTCTGGCTTTTACCCTAAACCCTCAACCCCCCTTTTTTGCAGCTGGGCTCTTAGTCGAAAACCCGTCTACAGCATGGGCTTGGATTTTTCGTGCCAGCGAACACTCCTCAACAGCAAAGCCTTCTCGTTTGGAGACCGTTAAACTTAAACCCTTTTGCAGCCAGGCCTGCTGAGGTGCTGCCGGGTTCAGAGACCCCTAAACCCTTTTTTTCTGCAGGCTTGCACCCCTACACGCTTTTGCATCCAAGCCTCTTCGAACTGCACCCCTAAACGCTTTTGCAACTGGCCTGCTAAAACCCTATGCCCCTTTGTTGAGCAGGGACTGCAATGCACCAAGCTCTGACTCCCTTCAGCCCAGCCAAAACCCTAGGCCCTGAACCCCTAAACCCTAATAGGCCCTGAACCCCTAAACCCTAAAACCCTAGGCCCTAAACCCCTAAACCCTAAACCCTAAAACCCTAGGCCCTAAACCCCTAAACCCTAAACCCTAAAACCCTAGGCCCTAAACCCCTAAACCCTAAAGCCTGCTTCTGTCTTTGCTCGCCGGCCTTGCTGGCTCTCCATGTCGGCCTCTTCAGAGCTGAATCTGACTCTCGAAGGCATAAACCCACCTTGGATAGCAATTGAGGTATGAAAGCCTACGAGAAACCGTGATGATTATGAAGATGATACTGATACTGGAAAGAATAGTGATGATGATGATACTGATGCTAGAAAGAATAGATTTCACATGATGAGGCCATAAGTTGGCAAACCTTTGCGGCACACGAGGCACTGTTCAAGAGTTTGGATGCCAGTGACGTCTCTGCGCTTGACAGCTGGACACGAAACGTGCTGAATTTCTGACTCCTTTGCCAGGTTTAACTACCCACGACGCCCAGCCGCTAGTTTTTCGGCACCGGAAACCACCGTATCCAACGTAGTGGCCTTTGTCGCCAGCTTTCGTTGAAACTCAAACAAAGGCAAAAGGGCAGCATGACGCAACTCGCCTTTCGGCTTTCCATTGTCAGCTGAGGCTCTGCGGACAGGCAAATCAAGGGATATACCATTGTGAGAAAGCCTCGGTCATACATGAGGCTGGCCGGACCTCGGGCGGAAGGTGCCTGAGGACTGAACGTTCCTCTTTGTGCGCCATCTTCGTGAACATCGCCTCTTTTGTGAAGATCACGGAAAAGCAGCCAGAGTCAGCGTGTCAACTGTTAAGACCGTCAGGGGTGATGATGTGATGTGGGTCAGCTATACATGCAGCCACTCCTCGAGTTTCGGCCGTTCACTCACTGCCGAAGCCGGGCTGCCAAAGTCACATACATCGGAATCAGCAGGAGTGTCAGCTGGCGCTGTCGGAGCGAACATAGAATCGCAGGCACTGCCAACAGCGCGACCAGGTTAAAGTTCAGCAAAAGGTTCCTGATGTAAGCAGAGTTTCGCAAGCAGCCAGAGTGCAAGTTGAAACGGGCAAATAGGGATCGAATCATGTTCCTGCATGCAAAGGGCTTCGCGTAGAAAGTCCATGGCTCCGTTCCATAGAGATCTGCGCCTGCACCTCCGCCACCAACTCCGAAGTTGTACAGCAAATGGTTGCCCATCCTTCGATCCAGACACACACTCCCTCACACAAGAGCAAGCGCAGGAACGCACAAGCACGGGAAAGGAGCGCGCGACCGAGACACGCCGGGAGAGAGAAACATACATAATGCCACATACACACACACACATATATATATATATATATATATATATATGCTCACCCCCCCCCCGGTGACAGACCACGGGTCTAAAAAACACCGTGCACAACGATATTCTGTGAAGCAAAACCGTTACATGAGGTATATAGTATAGCACCAGACGTGCGGCACATGAGTTACGTAATAGTCTTGTGGTAGTATCGGTATTAGGGTGAGTATTGTTATTAATATTAGTACTATTGCTTGCTGTAAGTATACGTATCAATATTGCCAACTATAAATTAGTGTTAGTGCTCATGTTCGTGTTAGAGTTAGCGCTAGTGCCAGTGTCAATGTCAGTAATACAGCACCACTGCTACGAGTAGTATCAGTATCAGTCTTAATGCTGGGTTTAACAGCAGCTTATATTCGCAGAAGTGCTAGTATTAGTATCAATATTAGAACTAGTTAGTTTTGATATGTTAGTATATTGATAGTCTCGTATATTAGCAGATTAGTATATCAATACATCAATGTATTCGGACAGCAAAATATTTGCATACTTGTATACTAGTATATTTTACATGTTAGTACAACTGGTGCATGACTACACTACTATACTGCTGTATTAGCTTACTAGTATATTGACATACCAGTATATTCGTACGTTAGCATATTAGTGTACGAATATGTGTACTATATTACTGTTTTATCTAATCATGTATAAGTATATCAGTATGTTGGCATATTAGTATACGAACTTGTCATGTCGGTATTCTTGCATAGTGCAGTAGCCGTATATGATTATAGTCACATATTCGTATAGTATATTCATACAACAACGAGAAGTATATTGATACATTGGTATATGGGTATATGCCTATGCCAAAGCATTAATACATGAATGCACTGATGTATATATCTGTATCTTAAGATAGTGGTACGTATTTTATGTACATGAGTATATGCAGGTGTCTATTAGTAATGGTATTAGTTTTCATATCAATATGAATATACTATTGGTATTCGTAGGAGTATTAATGTCAATACTAGTAGAAGTAGGACTATTTATACTCGTAATAGCCATAATATGAGTGTTCATGCTGGTAATACTAGTGGCATTCTTGAATATGCAGCAGATTATCAAAGTCCGTATTAGTGTTGGTGATAGCACTACTGTTAACGCACAAGGGTTTACGTATTCGTATTCGTAGGAGTATAAATAGCTATGTAAATATTGATGTTAGTAAAGATTTTGTGTTAAGTATTAGCAGTAGTGTTAGCGTTAGTACTAGCATATTATTGATGATATACATTCGAAAGAATGTTTGTATTGTTATTACTCTTGACCACGTGAAATTCTAACAGTTGAATTCATGAGTGAGTTAAAGGATTTGTATTTTAATATGGTGGTATGCATGTTTATGTACATTAGTACATACAGGTGTGTGTTAGTATTGGTATTATTATACATTATTATCAATATGAATATGGTTATTGATATGCGTAGGAGTACTAAGAGCAATACTAATCAATCTTAGTATTTGTGTTATGCATATTCGTACTAAGCTTTATAGAAGTGTAATATTAGTAGTAATGCTGGTATTAGCTTGAGCATTCAACAAATGATCAATGTCAGTATGTTCAATGGCAATACTATATGTAGGAGTATCAATACATATATGTATATATAGATATACAGATAGATAGAGAGATATTCGTGTAAATATGGGCATGAGTATTGACAGCCCTTGCCTTTGCAAGTAATCTGGTCCGATGCGGAGACTAGCACGACAAGGCGCGCGGGTGTCCTACCAAGAAAGGAATTACAGAGCACACGTGTATGGATGAGGGTTGTGCTGATACACTACATAGTAAGCACTACAGTGTGTCGTTCTTGGCTGCTTTGTCCCTTACTTCAGTGAAGCATTGACTGTTAGCTTCGACGGCGAGCCATCAATCCAACAAAACGCAAGCAGACTGCGTGACACAGGCACATACAGGTGCATACAGCTGCAATCAACTCTGGTGGTGTCCACTCGCAAAGAACAAGGTCCGCACCAAAATGCAGAGAAAGCTTTCCTGCAGTTCTGCGGAAGCATTGGCCTGGACAAAACAGCTCTGCATACCCTCACTTGAACACCCTAGGCGAGATTGCTAGCATAGGTGGTAGCAGGAGCTGGAAGATTTGCGATGCCACCCGCGCCATCTAGTTTTCAGCATACGCCGGCGTTTCTTTCAGAAATCTTACTTGAGTCATATATAGAACAGATTCCAGCATTTCCAAAATTTCCAAAATTCTCTCCCCTAACTTTCCGCATTTCCAAAATTTCCAAAATTTCCAAAATTTCCGAAATTTCCAAAATTTCCAAAATTTCCCGACCTAGTCGACAGGATTTTTCCAAAACATAAGGGCGGACTTTTTGGAAATTTTGGAAATTTTGGAAATTTTGGAAATTTCGGAAATTTTGGAAATTTTGGAAATTTTGGAAATCCGGAAAGTTAGGGGAGAGAATTTTGGAAATTTTGGAAATTTTGGAATTGAGGCTTTGAAAGCTGAGTGCCCCCTCCCCCCGATCACAGACCATGCACTACGACTGAGTCGAAAGGGCATGGTCTGTCATGGGGGGGGGGGGTGACCATATATATATATATACACATCATACCTAAATATAAATATAAACATAAATATATATACACACTATATTATGTATTATATACATTCCGCACACGCGCATATATGGATATGTGATATGTGTATGTATGTGTATATTATATATATACATAGCATCAGCGCAAATTCCGCGACCGTGAGCAAGCCTGTCAAGCCTGAACTACAAGCAACGATTGAAGCCAGCTGATCGAAGCCCAGCTTCGTCCAAACAGGCAAGCGCGAGCCATAGTATCCTCGCGCAGAGAGCTTTTGATAGGTTCTGAGCCGTCTCCATTCCATGGTCTGCTCGTTACACTCTTGAAGGGTGCATCATGCCATGCTCTTCGATGACTGGCATGCCTCCTCCCATCTTCAATTCAAGTGCTGCCAAGGAGCGCCAGTCCACGAGTGAAGGAACCACCGCGAAGACCAGGAGTGCCAGCATGGCGATGCCGAGGACGCCTGCAAACGAGTTGACACTGACTGATGGGCCAGTCAAATACCCAGACACCCAGCAAGACATGCAGCCAATCGTCGGAGGAAGCCCAAATTCTGTGGAGCAAGTGCGGCTAGACCCATCGGCACAAACATCCTCAGCCATGAGACGCGAAGTTCTGCTAATGTCAACAAAAACTTCACCACAACATTCGTTCCAGAACTGGGCATGGCACGGTGCGGCTACGGCCATCCCTAGAAGGACCGCAAAGGACCTCGGCCGCGACAGTTGCACGTCAATGACTCTGTCATCCGCAAAAGCTTCAGGAAGTAAACAAAAGTCTCCACAAACCACCTGAGCAGCGACGCCCACATCCAAGTCCCACTGCGTAGCGCCGGCGCATCCATGCTGCAAAACCGAGGAGTACAGCATACCTTGGAGCAGTTTGCATGGGATCGCGGGAGTGGGAAGAGATTACGACTTCGTTGTGTGCTGAAGTTGCTTGACCAGAAGCGCAGCAACCCTACTGCCTGTGGCGGCGAAACTCGAACATGCGAACTCTGGCTAAATGACCCCTTAGTCCTCCTGCACAAGCCCCAAAGACTGTTCTAGATGAGAATTAGGAAGTGTATTTTGGACCTGTAGAGCCCTGTAGACTTCATGTAGGTTGTCTGTCGGCCGCGCATGGGAAGTACATTGGCTTCGAGCATGCCTTGCTCTGTAAAGGCATACATATGCATGCGTGGCATCGGGGACGGGATGTTCGCGATTGCAAGAACTGCCGACATCGGGGGAGACACTGTTCAGGCCTCCTTCGTGATGATTCTTTCTCTCAGGGTATACCATGGTTTGCCATGCGGGGTGGTTTGACAATGAGGAGCGGGCAAGGGGTTCATGATCAATGCGCAAATCGATCTGCAGGCCACTGTAGGCAAGATGCATGCACGTGGTAGAGGGCAACACGGCAACAGAGGAGTGGAACATTCCGCCTGAGACATCATCGAACTTGTCATTGTGTCCACACCTCATGCACGCCGCATGCCACTGCTGAGGGCATGCTTCTAAGCATGCCACTTGCCCCAGCCAGAAAGCACAAGGTGAGGATTGCCACCTATCATTTGGAGATGCAAGAAACAGCCGATGCGGGAAATACGTGTTTCTAATTGTTTCTACTGACGCGTCACATGCAAAGAAGCCCACCCTGGTGCCGCAGGAGCATTGAACTGCATCGCAGAAGCTGGCTTCCTGAACTCTGGCGTCTGCACCAACAACAAGCACAACTGTGAATGGCACCACATCTAGAGTAATCGTCGAAATCCTTACTGACTCGCCCTTGCTGATGGAAGTCGCAAAAAGCGCTCGCAAGTCCACAGGACCCTCGAAGGCAATAGAAGGCTTGAACCTGCCATGGTGCAAAGCATCCGAAGCAAGCAACTTAGGCACAGCCCCGTCGGCTGACGGATGTGACCTCAAGCAGAAACAATCGACTCCCAGCCCATCAGCTGCAAGTTGCTCTGCAAACAACTACGACTGCTTCAATGTGCTTCATACTTCCTCTAGGCCCGTTTCGGCTTTCATGCTGGCTGTGCTACAAGAACCCATCGGTCCCTGAAACGCAATGTGGCGCGTCGACGTGCAGAGACATTAATCATTAACATGACTAGAGAAGCCATGGCGTGGTCAAGTGCAACCCTTAAGTTCTTAAATCCTCAACAGCCGTGGCCGTGGCCTTGTTGAAGCCCAACACTTTGGCGAGGCGGATGGGAAGCGCATAGAGCTCGACGAAAACATACCTTTCGAAGGTTGAAAGGAACGGTTCCGTACTGGCCCGATTGCCCACTCTGGTAGTGCTTTTGCTTGCAAGCCGCGAGCGCAATGCGAACTGCGGTGAATACTCCTGTGCGTAAGCCCCTGATTCCCCGTGTGTGCATCAGCTTGCATGTCGCATTGGACGACTGATATTGCTGCAATCGGCACCCAAGTCTGCATGCCGGTGCCGTGCGTAACATAATGTATGGGTTCCTTAGCATGGACAGAGCATATGCAAAGCAAGGCAGCTCGTCAATAGCTCAATCAGGTGATGCAGTACTGGGGCAAATCAAACAACTGCCAAGCTTGCCAAGACGAGCACGGAACGATGCTGCTGGAATTCTACATAGTTGAAGGTTTCATCGCAATCCATGATTGGAGCCTGGGAGAGTGTAGTGCGAATCTGTTGGGCATTGCTTTCTGCTTGAAAATATTGAGACTGCATGTTAGCACACTGAGATTGGCGCCAAGACCGCGCAAGCCAGCCGAACGACTAGCAGGAAACTGAACATGGCCGTCCTTCGATGCTTTTGCTACAGTATCGTCCAGTATATGCGACCGAGACGATGCGGCAGCGGCCAAGAAAGAACACAGCAGCCACGCGGCATGCCAATTGAAGCTGCACTGCCATCTGCACGATCGCCGCTCATTCTGCAGGGCACATGTCACACTGTTACTAACAGCATCTCAGCCAAACGCTGCGATGAACAGGCAACAGGTTGAGGCAGTTGCATACAAGGCATTGCCAGTGGCACGACTGTGCGCTAAGACGAGTCTCCTGACCACAAGCAGCGTCGTCCCTGAGGCTGTCAGATCTTTGGGCAAAGCGCTGAAGCCTGAAGCAAGCAGCAGCTGAGTCTTCGGCCCTCGCGTCGCTTTTCTGAAAGCATCCTGCACTTCCTGCAGTTTGGGGGATGTGATGCTTGCCACACTCTGGCCACCTAGATCTAGCTGCAGCAAGCGGCGGCAGGGGTGATCAGTCCTTCTCTGCCAGTGGCAAAGCCCACTTGGCTCGTCTCTTGAATAGTGGCTCAACCTGAGCATTCGGAACTTGGAGAAGTCCACCCGCCTCTTCTCGGAAACATTCAGGCAGGCCTTTTCTTAGGATGGGGCTGCAGACTTCAGTTCCGAAGTCAAGAGGGCACTTTGCCAAATTCTGTAGTCGTCCTGCCGCAACCAGGGACGAGGATGCGAGCACCCTACGAAGGCTCAACCCTGCTCATTATCGTCATGCCTTTCTTTGTAGTTCGGCCTCTCCTTCTTGAAACTTCCGGAACACTGCCCGGACTCCCGGAAGCACGCTCCGTCACGGAGTGCCGCGAACCATGTACCAGCACCGGCCCCATGCTGACCTTCTGCTTTTCCTTTTAGCTGTTCCGACTGGCAATGACACTGCAAAACGGATCTCTCATCTTTTTCTTTTCCTGTCAGAGGAATCGGCAAGACAGGCCGAGGCCACAGTCTGAGGTGACCCGGTGAATGGAAGCTGCCAGTTTCGCTTGCGGACCTTTCACCTTCAATTCCTGGCAGCACCCAGCTGCAGAAAGGAGCTACTGTATGCAGCGATCTAGAGGCTACGGCTTTCAAAGCTTTTCTGCCTGTCCTTGGCAGCTTATCTTAGCACCTCGTCACTTCAGGGCAAGACTCTCCACATCCACTGCCAACAACACCATCTTCCCCCAGCTTCAAGGGTTGCGCTTTGCATGTTTGCTTCAGGTGCATACTTTCCAGGAACCTGATCTCTCCTCTTCGCTCTTTGAAAGGCTTGGTCTTCGTAAGCTTCATCCCCGGAGAGCCCAACACCCCTCAATTAAGGAATGTGGCTTAAATTATATAGGGCTTCATATTATGATTTAATAAGCTATATTCCTTAATTAAGGGGTATTGGGCTCTCTGGGTCTCTCCTGTCTGATGCAGGAGCGGACTCTCTGGCCTCCGCCCTGAATGCAACGCTTCCTTTTCCTTCCCTTTGGGCTTGCACCTTGCTGATAACATAACTGAAACTCTTTCGGGCGTCTCTTGTCTTACTCTCTTCTTGTGTCTTGATCCTTCGCTTTGCATTTGTGCGTTCTTTGTCTTCATCTTCCCCACTTCTCAAAGCTTTGTCTGACCTTAACTTAGCCGCGGCCTTCGACTTGGAATGCTTGGGCTTTCTGCTTTGACCTTGGTCTTTTCTTCAACATTCTTCCATGCGCCTTTGTGCTTACTCTTTCTGCGGCTGAGTTAGTCCTTGTCTTCAACGTTTGTTTGCTTCTGGTCTTCGTGTTTTTCCATGGTCTTTATCTTCAACTTGCCTTCGCTTCTGAGTCTTTCCTTGTGATCTTTGTCTTTTAACCCTGGTCTTTGTCTTCAACTTGTCTTTGCTTCTTGTCTTCGGCTTTAGCTTTGGGCCTTGTCTTCAACTGCTCTTTACTTGGGGTCCTTGTCTTTTAACCCTGGTCTTGTCTTCAAGTTGTCTTTGCTTCTTGTCTTCGGCTTTAGCTTTAGGCCTTGTCTTCAACTGCTCTTTACTTGGGGTCCTTGTCTTTTAACCCTGGTCTTGTCTTCAACTTGTCTTTGCTTCTTGTCTTCGGCTTTAGCTTTAGGCCTTGTCTTCAACTGCTCTTTACTCGGGGTCCTTGTCTTTTAACCCTGGTCTTGTCTTCAACTTGTCTTTGCTTCTTGTCTTCGGCTTTAGCTTTAGGCCTTGTCTGCAACTGCTCTTTACTTGGGGTCCTTGCCTTTTAACCCTGGTCTTGTCTTCAACTTGTCTTTGCTTCTTGTCTTCGGCTTTAGCTTTAGGTCTTGTCTTCAACTGCTCTTTACTTGGGGTCCTTGCCTTTTAACCCTGGTCTTGTCTTCAACTTGTCTTTGCTTCTGGCCTTGGCCTTTGTAGTTTAAACTTCACTCTTCGCTTTGGCACTTGCTTTGGTCTTCTTTTCGACGCTACTTTTTTTTTGATCTCCTGCAGGTCTTTGTTTACCCGAAGTTTACGCCGCCCTTTGCTTCAAGTCTTCACTTCTGCTGCGGCCACTTCGCTTAACCATCACTTTGGCTTCTCTTCGGCTTTATGCTTTTTTGCCGCAGCTCTTCGCTTCGGAGCCAGGCGAGACTGGTCTTCGTGTCCTTTTAGCTTGCACTCGGACTGCCGGGGAAAAGCAACCTACCAACAGCTGGTGCAACTTTTCTGCCAGCTGTCGCCCTGTCATTGAGGCAGCTTCCCTAACCGCTTCTCTTCAGTTGCCTGTCGTAGGCGAGAGCACAAGATATGACAAGCACGGCCTCAGCCAGTGATTACCGCCCGACGGAGCTGATGGCGCACGGCAGCGACCAACTCTTTAAGCTTATTTTCTGGCTTCGCTGCGTGGCCTGATGGCGGATGTTGACGGAGATGACACAAAGCTACGGTAGATCCAGCGGGTGACTCCCAAGCTCGCTCCTGGCTCCGGCCTTTGATCGGACAGCTCCTGTTCTGATCAGAAGCTTACGGTCACAAGTCCTCTTCAAGCCGTAGCACACGAAGCCAGATGAACAGGATGTGCCTCACTCTCGCATAGCACAATGAGATGCACGATTACTTTGTTTATTCGGGCAATGCTGGCAGCGTTGCAGCACGTAGGGCTTAAGGACATCAAGCAAACCAAGCACAAAATTGAAAACAATCGCCTGACCATGGTAGTGGGTCTGAACGGTGGCAGGATATGACTGTACGATACTGCACGACATGCGCCTCGTCAAAACGTCTCCCTGTTTCCCAACCAACTTTCCTATTCTACTTACTTGCAATGATTCCGTCGACCTGGCACGGCATAGTTTGCAGCGAGACTTAGACCCTGTTTGGTTTGCAGCTGCAAAAGGCGGGTGAAAAACATCTTCACATCTTGCTATTCTTCTATTCATCCCAGCTCGCAACCTGCACTGGTTGGCACGTTGTACTGCAGTGAGGCCCGTGCTTGCATGGCCCACGACCTTTCAAGAAATCTGGGCCTCGGCAGCGTGCCCCTACCATGCCCTCGTTGCATCTGATAGCCCTCCGTATCCCAAATATTTTTCGGATTTTGGCCAGCTGCAATCACAGCTGGGTTTCGTCCCGATGTGCACGGTGTAGACCTGAGGACCACTTAGACTCTCAAAGCTGCCGACGAGCAGGTGAATAATGGGTTTTCTCATCGTATCCCATCTGAAGAGGATACTACAGCCCTGCGGCCCTACAAGTATAAGGTGTAAGGTCCGAACGTTGCCGGTGCTGCCCAGCACGTGGAAAATGCCCCCTGCTCCTGCAAAAAGCTTTGCGCAATTTCAAAAACCGGTGAGCTGGTGGAATGCCTCCAGCATGAGGCCGTTCCAACTTGAGCCTTCATCTTTCAAGCATAAGCGAAACGATGGCACGTTCCCCGATCAAACTCTGATCCATGAGCCAAGCTTCTGGCAAGTAAAGTCGCTGTTCCAATGCTCGGTCGATGCGATCGCCTCATGGTCGGAGACTGAAGCGGTGCAATGCCGATATGCTGCCACTTCTGTAGCCGGGACTGCTACATGTTGCAATGCTCGGCTGTCGTCGAAAGTTTGCCTGGCGCACCTCCTGCACTTCGTGCAGAATGCCGTGCACAGCTGCCACAATGCGCAGTCAAGGCAATTCGGTCCAATGCCTTGGGTGCGGCTTGCCCTCTGCAAGGCTCAACTGGCTTCGATCTTTGTCCTGAGCAAGACCGCCGCGGTTTCCTCTTTCCCGTTGCAATATCCATGTGGTGAGAATAACAGAGGATTAGCTCTTGACGCGTGTTTTCCGCCAAACCAAGCTGCATATACGTGCATGGCACTGTATGACGTCAATTATTTGCAAAACATCCTGCTGATTCCCGCCGCGTCTCAGACGATTCGGTTTGGTTCTCACACTTTCCTGTTGTCCATCTTCGTCCATGGAACGCGCACATGATCTGAACTGCAATTAACATGTTTTTTCCCGGACTTTTACGCCTGCGGCATTTCCTTTCGAGAAAACATGTCGTTTTAGTGCGTGCACATTTCTCTATCTTTCGGAATGGAATTATATTTCGATTCCGACTGCTCCCATTTTGGGAATATCTTTCGGATATTTCTTTTTATATATATTTTGACTGGGAACTTGAACGTATACGGACTAAGAGGGCTTCAAACAGCCATCGTCCGATGTAACTTGACGGCAAGACCCGTCAAAATTATGCAGGCCTGCAGGTGTATCTGCCTCTGAGATGTAGTGTCTGTGAACGAAGAAGCCAGATCCACCTGTGCATACTTTTCAATCTTATTCGGGGACCTTTGTTCTGTTGCCATTCGGCTGCTGTGTAGTTCTTCAGCTGGGGGCCACGTGTAGTCAGGAAGATGAGGAGGGGACGAGCCCGCACATGCGAAGCTTACGTGCACGGCACATACATTGTCTGTCTGGAGGTGAGGAATGTGCAGATGTCGAGTAAAGCAGCGCGTTTCCTTGCCACATGTCAACCACTCTTGGTTGTGCCTGAGGAGTACCAAGGGTCCGTCTACCTGTCCGCCGAAACTACAGTAGGCTACCCCGCTACGGCCAACTAGCGCAATGGCAACCGGCTCGGCCCCGCCGCTTCGGCGAGGTCGAGCACACGGTCCAGTTCCGGGCCCTGCCACTGGCTTGGGTGTGGCGGGGCGGGCCACGGGCTGCCCAGGGCCGTGCTGGCTACGGCCTGCTGCACCGCGACGGCTAAAGCCGCCCACCACCGTCGCGTCCAGGCGGAGGCGGCAGCGGCTCGCAGCGCCGGTGGTGCCCGTTGGGCTCGGACGCGCACCAAGTCTCGAACGAGCCGCTGCGCTGCTTCGCATGTTCAGCCTGTCCTGCCAAATTCAATAAAAATTTAAAGGTCTTCTAGAATCGTTGAAGTTTATGAATTCGCAATGAAAACTTCAAACATCTTCGAACATATGAATCATATAAACGCTCTGCGCTCAATGTTTTCCAACATTTTTCAACGTCCAGAGGTGAAACATTCGGGTGACGTCCGTTCCGGGAACAAAACCGGAAAGTTCAATTGAATTTGTGTTCTCGGTTCCCTTTCAGACTTGGTCCTCGCCGCGGGTTGGCTGGGAGCCGGGGCGTTGAGCCACCGCTTGTCCTGCAAAGCCTCATACCCAACAGAGGCGACTGTGTCGAGGGAGATCTCGAGCACTAAGCCCCTTGCCACGACTGAGTGGCAACGATCTGGACTTAGTTTTGCACGCCCGACGCACCTTCTTGCATCCTCGTGGTCATTGTGCTGGTCGGCCGAGTCCAGGGCGAGGCTCCGGAAATGTTACAGCATGCGACCGGAGACGAGGGGGAGGTGGGTAGGAAAGCTGAGACAGAAGGAATTACCGACATTCGCAGCCGGAGAGCGGCAGGAAAAGGAGGCTGATCGCGAAGGCACAAACAACTGCGAATGCGAGCAGAGCGGCCGACCAAGTAGGTTGAGATGCATGCACTCCGCAGTGGAAGGCGTGCAAACCGGGCACGGCAGTCAGAGAAAAGTGGCAGTTTCTGGGCTTCACCTGCCGCCGGTTCTTGTGACCAGCACGCAGGGGCGGCAGCTGCCGGAGTTGCAGAGATCTGGTAGGTTGCAGTCAACGGCGACACGAGGGGTGGTGTCGACCACAACCTGGACTGCTCCCCACAACGCTAAGCCTGTAGCTGTACAAGCTCCATGCGTCGCGGCATGCTGGGTTCCATAGCGCAGGGCAAGCTGGGCCCGAGCAGCAGCAAGCAAAGGCAGCCCATTTGGGGTCCCAGAACACAACAGTCTGTCAAGGCAACATCATCGTGGACGGTATGCCCCGGTGGCTTCTGGCGGGTGGCGCTGCGCGCACGAAAGGTGCCTGGAAAAGACCGGCTTGGCGAGTGCACGACTGTTGCAAGTGTGGCTCGATGGAAGCCGGACTGCCGATGGGCACGCCCAAAACCAACCTGGCCGAGCTGTTGTAGGCTTCAAGCGACCTCACAAACCCGCATTGCCGACTCACGCGCCAATTGCAGAAATGCAACGAGCAGGATACCGCCCGCATTCCACACACGTGGTGTGGAAGCATTGAAGCGCGATCAACTTATCGACACAGCGGTACTTGTAGAGAAGTGCCACCCGGCAGGATGTGGACATCATCGACAAAGGCCAGCTCCGGATGCAGATCATGGAGGGCTGGGGCGAGAGCGACGGAACGGGTCGGACTTTTGCGTGCAAGGAACTCAGGCTTGTGCAATTTGAAGGAGAGCTCGGCGCAGCCGGTGTTTTTGCAAAAGCCAAGACCAGCGAGGGCAGCCTGTAGCCGCGGAGCACGCAGCTGGTCAGCAGACGCTGGAAGGGGCTAGGTTGAGTCTCAGCGTGGCTCGGCAAGCGGGATGCAATTGCGGGCTGTGCAGATGGCTCCGCCCATATGGGGGATTTGTTCGACGAGGTGGATTTCAAAGAGCGGCCGCATAGAGCGCACCGGCGCGGAAGATGTGATAAGATGTGTTTGCGGCGTGCATCGGCTACGAATACTGGGAGATTCATGTCTGGAAAGCGCAGGTTTCCGGCTGTTTCTTTTCCGAATATGCCGGCCCGGGCCGAGCGGTGGCGGGCGGGATCATTGCGCCTATTCGCTGGAAACAAAACGACCCTCACATGCCAGCGACTGGACACGCTCGCGGCATGTCGCGGCAGCCAGGGCAAGGAATCGCGAACAAGAACAATGCTTCGCACGTTAGACTCATTGCCCCGAGTGCGGAACTGCAGCGGCTCGCTGCCAGCGACCAGGATGCGAATGCGCGCCCTGCCTGAGTGTAGGCCCCGAAAACTGTAGGCGAGTACCACGGGGCACGGATAACAGGTGAGACATGGCGAGACTTTGTTGCACCGCCTTGAAGCCCAAACCCTCTCGGTCGTCGTATTGGTGCGCACTTGTTGCGGAGCCATACACATGGATGCTTGCTGCCGGCGGAAAACAATTCAGCCCTACGTCATGTTGCCGCGCGCTGCAATTGTGCAGCAAGGGGGGTGTACAGCATGTGCACATGGTTCCGTCTCATATGCCACATGGGACGGGTTCCGTTTACCCCCAGCGTCCGTGTCCGGCTCCAACATGCTCCAACGACCTAGGAAGAGTCGGGCTCGGGTATGCTCGGGTTAGGGCCGGGCTCGGCCCGTTTTTTTTTTTTTTTCGACAATCCGCGACACGGTCCCAGTGCAGCACGCCCAAACCCAAGGCGACGTCCTACGGCGTCAAGTCCAGGCTTGCAGGCACGGCAAGGCTCTGTCAAGGGCGCGGTGGCAGACGGCTGGCAAGGGGCGGGGTCTCGTCGAAGCGAGTCGAAGAAAGAACCTCGCTGAGCAGCGGCTGGTCGCCGTCGACATTGGCAGTGCCGGCAAGGGAAAGACCAAGCAGGCTGGCACCGAAGGCTCTGGCGGCAGAACAGGCAAGCAGGGCAGACCATCGGGAGGTGAAGGCTGCGATGGTTGCAGGTCGCAGCGGGCGAGGGACGGCGCGGGCCCGGCAGCGAGCGACGAGGCGGACAAACTGGGCAGCCTCTGAGCTCCAGCGGCCTCCGACCTCGAGTGCAAGGACAACGAGCCTGCACCTATGCGAGCGCAGTCCGGGCTGGCCAAATCCAAGCTCTCATCCAAGGAGGGCACATCGGTAACGCGCGGGTCCCAGAATGGACAGGGTGCGCACGGAGAGCGCCCTGAACCACGCTCTCCCAGGAAAGGCACATCTACAACCCACGGGCCGCAGAAGCTGTTCGGACCCACGCTGGGCCACACGCGTCAACGAGGCAGCGGACGGCCCAGTCCGTAGAATAAGGCTATGAGGGTTGTAGTCCTGGATCTAAGAAAACTATAAAGGTGGTGGGTTTGGGCCTCGCTGCATCAGGCGCAGCCGCCACCGGGGCGGGCAAACCGCGACTTCGGCAACATTCTGCGGGGCTGCAGCACCAGGCTTCCCTTGCCAGTGATAAGCGCGCTCGAATTGCATCTTTCTCACCTTGATGCCGCATCTCGAGCGCTGCTGCTGTCACAGGCTTGACCACATGTTGCACGGGCCTTGTGCCACAGGCCTTCGCCGTTTTTCCCACCTCAACTGAGTTGACGGTGACTTCGCCACTGTTCCGCGTCGTGATCCTGCGCCCATTGTTGTGCGGCCTGCGTTTGCGCCGCGCAGCACCGCGGACGGCCCAACCCGGGTGGCGTTCTGCGCCGTCATGCGGGCGGCCATCTCTGGTCACTGGGCTGACGAGCGTCGCGTCCACGGCAAGTTGTGCGCCGTGCCAAAGCGGGAGGCCGTTGCAGACGACCTCGATGCGCCTCGCGTCTTGGACCGGCACATCGATGTTCATGGCGGCCAGCGCGACGTTGCGCCCGACACGCGCCCCGGCTTCTTGGCAGACGCGGGCGATGGCCCGCTCGAGGGGCAGTGCGCGGGAGGCGAGCACGCCGGATGTGGAGCATGCAGCTCGATGGTCTCCGTACGCATCAAGCACGCCGTGGCAGGAGCAGCTGCGCGGGCCGAGCGGGACGGGCAGGCGCAAACGGCGCAAGAGCAGGACGCGGAAGTGTGAGTCGGGTATTGCAACATCATCCGACGTGGGCAGTACCGTGAAGGCTCGGGCCGCGTGAGGACCGGCTTGAGAGAGCAGCAGCGCCCGGGACGCAGGGGACAAATCAGCAAAATGCGTCTCGAGCGCGCGCTCATCGCAAGCGTGGGAAGCTCTGCGCTGCCATCCGCGCAGGAA